AAAAATTAAGGTCCATACCTTTGAGAAATTGAAGATGTTTCTGAGGCAGTATAGAGAGGACTATTAATATTGTTGTTCTCATGATTATAATCTTCAAGCTCTAACCATAAGTCATAAGGGGTTTTCTCATGAACTTGTGTGTTGTCTATATGTTGAAGAAGTGCATTTATTTGCTATGATAAACCACCAAAACAAAAACAAAAAATTAGTTTGCAGAATCGCGATATATATAGGATCAACGACAAAATCAAGAATTCATAAGAGGTGATTTGAAATCCTTTTAACACGTCTAGTCAAAATACTAGAATTTTTTCTTATGTCGAGGTCCTCAAGGAGATTCAACAACTTATATACTATTAAAAATTAAACTCGTTTTTCTCTATTTGATTTTTAAAAAATTCATACCTCCATATTATCTTCATAACTTGATGTATTATTGCTGGAGAGTTGTTCCTACAAAAAAAAAAATTAAACATTTTTAAAAAATGAAAAAAAAATATTATAATTATTTGGGCAAAAAAGAACTAGTATACATCATACCATTCTTTGTCTAACTTGGTTTAATGCAACTTGAAGACGTTTTTCACACAAATCAAGCTCATGGAGTGATGTAATTCTTTGTGTATCTGGTTCAAATATTCTTTAAATAAAGTCAAAATGTGAGAAGAGAATGAATATTCAAAATATCATATTATAAAAAGAGGATTAAATCGAAATATAGTTGCTATACAAAAATTAGGTGTAAAAAACCAATCAAATTAACTTAATATTAATAAATTAGAACAAATACCAGAGGATGCAATTGTATAATAAGATCTCAATTGAACAAATAGAGTAAAATAAACTCGAATCAATGTAATATGAAATTATTAGGTCCACATACCTGATCAAATAGAGTCGGAGCCCGGATTTAAATTTTATGAGTTCAGAATTTTAGTCCTTTTAAGTTACTAGTTTCTAAATTAATGATTTGTACATATTTCATGAATTCTTAATACAAATCTGAATATTTAAACTAAAGTTACTGAATTCGACCGAACTCGTAATCTACCCGCTAGCTTAAATTAGAGTGTCAACTATTTCTTTAATTACCTTAATAATCCCTCAGCCTCATCGAGTTTACAATGCAAGCCATTGATTTCATCTTGAATTTTCTAAAAACAAAAATGAAGAGAAACAATTAATCTTAAGGTTGATAATATAAAAATTAAAAACTAAAAAAAAAAACACAGAGAAAATGAATTAATTAAGCACCTTTGTTGTGTCATTTGCGTTGACGTATGCAGGATTTATCCTGATTAATTTTTTTAAAAAAGAATTATGATAAGTAATACATGAAAAAAAATTATCTAAAAAAAAATAAATCCAATCAATTAAAGAAAACTAACCTTTCAATATCGCAGAATTTATCTTCAATTTCAATCTTCCTTAGGTTCCAAAGTACAGACTGCATAAAGAGTGCATTAATGAAAATGATTTTTTAAATTCTTATTTTTAGGAATAATAATATTTTTGGTCCTTCGATTATGTAAATTTTAATTTTAATCTTTATGATATTTGGCTAATTTAACCTTTGATTACTTAAAATTAATTTGCACTTTTTATCCCTTTATAAATATTCACAATTTTCTTTTGAATTACTAACTGTTTAATCGTATAATTACATATTACTCATATATTATGTTAAACGTATACTGTTATTCCATGTTTGAGGGCAATATACTTTTTAAGAATAGTTAAAATATAACATACTTCCTACTTAAACAAACCAACAACATCACATTTAGATTAACTAAAAATTAAATATGTTAAATCATATATCACAAGAATCAAAATCAGAATTTACGAATAATTGAGAGACAATAATAAGTCAAGTAAAGCTCACCTCTTTATTCTTGATGTAGCTGCATTTGACAAAAGAAAGTATGTGTTAGATAGTTTAGTTAATTACAAAAATACATAAAAGATGAAAAAACAAAAACTTAATTAGAAAAAGAAGGGAAAAAGGGAAAAAAGATATAATAAAACCAAGAAGAGAAAATAAAATTATAAAAAAAAAACTTACAATCCTCTTTCACTATCTGGGAGACTAATGAGCTCAGAAAGAATATCTTCAATTCTGCATTAATAAAATTTAATATTATTAGTCCCTCTAGAGGCAAATGTAATCAAATTTGACTTTAATTTTTATTTTTCTAAAGTTTATCAAAATTATAAATTCAATGATTCTATTTTTTTTGGCTTAATAAAGATATATTAATGTACTAGTCGTATCATTATTACAATCATATTGGACAATATATTTATTTTTCGAATATTGTGTTATTTGTGTCAGGTCTTTTAAAAATGTAAATCATTACCTTCTTTTACGCGAATAATGTGTGAGACGACCAGAAGGAGAGAACATGATTATAGCAACATCTACATCGCATAAAACAGATAATTCATAAACTTTTTTGAGAATTCCATTTCTTCTCTTGCTAAATGTGACTTGTCTATTGGTCAAACTCTCAATCTTCAACAATGGCAACTTACTTCTTCCCATGTTTTTTTTTTCTTTTTTTAAAAAAGCTTTCTATAATTTAGAAAGATATATATAAATAATATATATATGAATGTAATATACAATCAATTAAAAGATGAAAGTTTCATTTTTCGTATTGATATGATCTAGCAACATAATTTGAACGTATTTCGCGTTCATGTTGTTGCTAGAAACAATTGATTTCATCCCATTAAAAATGTAACGTCGGGGAATCCACTCTTTAATATATATATATATATATATATATATATATATATATATATATATGTATATGATCAATGGAATATAAAGAAAAATATCAAGGAGGATTTTAGGGATGGAGAAAATGAACTTTGATGAGATTTTACATTTGTGTTTTTTAGGGTAATGAAAATATTGATTCCAATGGTTTTAAAAGAGGACAAGGAGAAGGAGAAAATTTGAGAAATTTAATTAGTGGTGGGGATTATTGATTTTGTCCTAAAAGAAAGGGGGAATAATGATCCAATAAAATTTACTTTGAATTTCTATATGTTTAAGGGTAATTTTGGATTTAATGTGTGACATAAATCTTAAAGATTTTTGGTACAAAATGTGTATCAATTGCGTCTCCCATGTAAGAGACCTAGGATCGAATTGATTTTCTCAATTCTAACGTTATTTATAGACAATAGAATATGGGTGGATAAACCATGGAATGGGTTGACTCTATATCCATGATCATAAAAATGAATTTTGTGCTTAACTCAATTTCAAAAATTGGTTCAAGAGATGATGATACCCAAGACCATACAATAATTAAGCCCCAACAAATTAAATGTAGGACTCTTCCCCCCCCCCCCCCCCCCGATCGTGCATGCTAAGAATTTGGCATTGGAGTTTGTACAATATAAGATGGGAGCCAACTGTGTTGAAGTTAAAGTGATAGCTACAAATTCGGCACTAATAATTTTGGCTCAAATTTGACATTTATGTTAAAAATTCACTTAACATCTACACATAATATATCCAAAATCTTCTAAGAAAATAAAAATTATGGTCCAAAACTCATAAACTAGCTCTACCATTATGGCCAAATATTTGATAAACCGCAAATTGATTGACTTTATCATAATAAAAATAAATTTTGAATCTAACTCAGTTTCAAAAACATGATGTTCCAAGTGGTAACAATTAACCATATAAAGAGACAACTAATCTGCTCCCCAAATCATGTGAGACTCAACAAGGATTAATCATTGTGGTACTATTTTCTTCTCAGCCAGTGGCGGATTCAGGATTTCCATTAAGGGGGTTCGGAAAAAAACAGAGTAGTGCTTAAGATTTGAGGTTTGAACTCGTCAATCACTAAGCCAACCTCTAATCTTATATTCAGGAGGTTCAAAATCAATATATATATATATATATATATATATATATATATATATATAATTTCTTTAAAATACCTTAAATATACAACGTAATTTTTTGTCGAGGGGTTCGGATGAAACCTCGGCAGACTCTAGGTCCGCCCCTGCAGCTAGCTAGGCACATGCAGTTGAAAATTATAGCTTGATTCTCAACAAAAATAAAATAAAAAAAAGTTCAATCAATAATGGTTATTAATTAAAAGAATCCATAGGGTAAAATTATTGGTCCTTTATACATCATCCATCAGATGTCATTTCGTGAGAAAATTATTGGGACAAATAATTGTCATTAATTTATTACTACGAGGTATCACTACATTTCACATTTCACTTCATTGGACTAAAAGCTACATCCTTTTCTTTAAGGGAAACATACCTAAATTCAACTAGTTTAGTATATTGGTTTGTAATATTATGAATCTTACTAGATTTTGGCGCATCCAGATATGTTTAGATACATTCAGGTACATGCATATCGGGATACATGTGGTCAAAATTAGGTGTAATTAGTTCTAGATATACTGTATTCAAGTGGATTTGCATATATCTGTTGGAATACATAACAAATCTTGTGCGTCTCCCTCCCATCTCGCTCACTACTCTTTATGTATCTGGTACTAGATACATGTGAATCACACCATATACATATAGATACATGTATTTAATGTGTATTAGTGTGATTCACATGTATCTGAGATACATAACAAATCTTGATCACCTCCCTCTCATCTCTCTCCCTATTTTAGTGTATTTGATAGCAAAAATACATATATCTAAGTGTATCTTCCTCAATGTATGGTAGCAAAAAATTGCATACAAATTGATACAAACACTATATAGTAACAATATTCTTACTCAATTTTATAGTGCTTGACTTCAAATTGATACAAACACCATATACTAACAGTACCCTTACAAAGTTTTACTGCGTAGACTGACACGAACACCATAAGCTAGTACTAATAACACCCTTATTGAATGACACAAAGAACACCACATACTAATAACACCCCCTTACAAAATTTTATACTGCGCGTAAACTGACATAGGCATCACCGTTAACGTTATTTAACTAATTACATGATGGAGCAAGCATTAGAATTGTCATCACTAAACATGGTAAAATAAGCAGGATCCTCAAATCTTGAAATTGTTTCTGTTGTTGTCATGTTATGATCGACCCTTCTAACATAGCCAGGAGGAGCCTTCTTGTCATAAGAAGCAACAGCATAGGGTTGAGCCACTAAATTGTAAGGCACATAAGGCCAAATCTCAGCCTTTTTCCCTGTTGATTTTGCCTTCTTTAACACTTTGTTTGCTTCCACATATCCTGTTACTGTCACCTTTTGTTGTTTCCTGTTTATCTCCACTGATTTTACACCTACAACAAGGTAATTTGTTAACATTTTTACCAATGTTACAAATTACTTTTTTTGTCGACGGTTTCAATTTATCTGATATATTTTGCTTCAAGAATATTATAAAGTTGGTGAGCCGTGTGATGAAACCTTACCGTAGGATTAGAGGGCACTGAATTAGAGTGAGAGGTTTTTTAGTTCACTTCAAAGAAAATGATACACTTTTTTATTTTCTAAATATTTAATGACACTATTAAGATTTTACTCATATTGAGTCCAATTTATTTTTAAAAAAAAGTCTACAACGACAATGTACTTTTTAAGGGTAACTTTGAAACATTGCAAAGTCTTTCTATATTTCTTAACTTTGTGCTCAGTCAAGCTATATAACATATATGCTAATTAGACGAAGAAATGAACTCTTTTTGCTTATATGACACTATACTATTCGTTTGGAGTACGTACGATGGTCAAATTCTCTAATTATCAACTTGAATTAGACGTATAGTCTTCAATTTCGTTGTGAAATCAAATTTACATATGTACCAACTACTTAAAACGACATTATAAACCACAAATAAAATTTAAAATTCAAATATTTAAAAGATATCTAAAAAATCGAATAAAAAACAACTCATTTATTATCTAAATATTAATTGTGTCGCATGAAGTGTGACTGAAGGAGTGATACTTCATGCACATCACATATAATTACCATTTAAGTGATAATATCATGTAAATATTTTTACACCCCGCATATAACTTAAATTCATAGCAGTTTGAACGAGAGAGAAATTCAACTCTGATATCATGTCAATGTTGTGAAGAAGATGAACGCCAAATGGCACAGTGAAACTAAAAAGGTTCAACTGAAGTTCCTTCTTTAAAAGATTATATTACATATATAAATAAATAAATAAAAACCTTAAAACCAATTAGTATATAGCATATAGTGTTTAATTAATTTCTTACCACTTAATGAAGACAAAGTTTTCTTGACTTTAAGCTCACAGCCATCACAATCCATTCTAACTTTGAGCTCTACGGTATGAAATTGCCTCCTCTTATTATTGGATGTATGACTAATTTTCATCATATTAGAAATATACTCCAAAGTTGCTCCAAGACCCATATTTTCTCTTTTTGTTTGCTACTTTAGTCTATGAAGTATTTAGTATTATTTTTTCTTTTTTTGCTTCCTATATGATGATAGTATCATGTTTACTTCTTATATAGGCATTTTCTTTTTCAAACAAGGAGTAAAAAGGGAAGGAGGACCCCCCCAAAGAAAATGTAAATCATGAGCTTGATATTTTAATAGCTCATGTCAATCATGAAATCAAAATATAGTTTAAAAATTAAAAAAAATATAAAATTTTATTTTTATTGTTTCAAGTTCATAAAAAATTGTGTTTTCTTACAAAATTTAATACTCTCACACTTGTTCAAGATTTGAATTAATTCTTCTCTAGATAGAATGGAACACCGTTTTGTAAAACTAGAAATTGAAATTGTAGAACTTACCAAACTCAATAAACATAGTATATCATATGACCAGTGGCGGAGCCATAATTTTTAATAAGGGATTCAAAATTTGAGAAGTAAACACACGAACTAATGAAAGAGAATTCAATATCTATTATACATATCTAAAAATAATTTTAACCATGTATAAATAGTAATGTTTTCCGCCGAAGGGTTTCGGATGAACCCCTAAGTATATATGCTGGCTTCGCCCCTGCATATGACACTTCCTTATTTATTTTTTTCCTTGAAAACTTTAATGCAAAAAAAAAGTTCAAATGATGTATGTTTTTAGGAAGTAGAAGATTTCATTTTTCAGTGTATAAAAGGAGAATTAAACTTTATTTTCCCTCCAACTTATTTCCCTCTATTCCTAACACACATTACACCTTATCTTTAAAACTTTGTGTTTAGAGTAATCTAACAATATATACATGCAAGAACTAGCTAATGGTGAATATTTATCTGCTGATGAATGAAATGGAATAGTTGGTGAATGAATATTATTTTGATCTTTTTATAAAATTTGAATAATTTATTTTATTTATTTATTTTATATTTTTGAAATACAAATTAAATCTAAAATCTAATTTAACACACCATCAAAATCGAACTAAATGTATGTACTTGTACACATTTGAATTAGCTTTTAATAAATGTGAGTTAGAATCGAAACCTAATTACATCAAAATTGAACTAGATGTATGAACTTATACACAATTCAATTAGCTTTTAAAAAATGTGAGTTAGGATCGAGATCTAATTTTAAAAAAAATTACAAATGTCCATGAAAAATGAAATGGGCCTAAACTCTATGATTAAATAGGCAAACCACCAATTATTGAAAGAGTAATTGTTTTCAATTAAGAATTTTTGGTTGAGCTGCTAAAAATTACTTATTTTAAATAATATTTTTACTAAAATAGCTTTTCTCTAAAAGTACTTTAGAAAAATAATAATTTATATTTGATTATTTCAGTTGAAAAATATTTTTTACTAGGTGTATGACAAATTTAATTTCAAAAATATTTTTGAAAGTCTAATCACGAAAAGAGATAGAAATCAATGCATTTTTACTGGAGACTAGGATTATTTTAAATATTTTTGTTATGAAAGATATTTAAAAGTAATTTTACTAATGGATCAAACATTTCAATTTTTCACAAATAATAGTAATAATTTTGGCCTCTCAATCATTTGGGCAAACAGGCTCTGATGCGGACGCTTTTGGCATTTGCTATTATTTTACTTTATTTATTTTTTAGTAAAGAAAACCTTACATTAATTTTAAAATTTGAATCTTCTATTCATAGGATACTATTGCAACATTTCCTAAAATCTAATGTCATGTTTGTTGCAAAATAATACATACAAAAACCAGCTGTCGTGCAAATATATTGTTCAACAATGTCTGAAAATTACTTTTTCGGTACGATAAATTTGAGTCTGATATTTGCTCATATTTTGCAAATTTTTAAACAAAGCATAATTAGACCGACGTTTAATTTTACTATAATTTATAAAGTTCTATATCATGGTCTAATATTTTCTTATAAAATCGTTGATTTTCTAAAAATTATTAACTGTGGTCTAAAAACCCCATACATTATAGAAAGAAATCATTTACATACAACTATTTCAAAAAAATACAACAAAATTTCATCATTTTAAAAAAACATGCCTAAGTATTTATAGGCTAAACTGATCACATGGAGATGTTCCTGGTTCATTGGGCCCTACAGTGAGGGTGAAGGAAGCAAATAGATTAATAAATAGTTGTTGTTTTTTGTACTTATATTGAAAAAAAAATAGTCAATATTATAGAGTTTCAATGACTATAATTTTAAGTTTTATAACCATAAATTCAATATTAACATACGATTTTTTTTTAAAAAAAGGGAAAAGGGTTAAATATGCCCCTAAACTATTCAAAAAGATCTAGATATACCCTCGTTTAAAGTTTGGCTCACTCATGCCCTCGTCATCTAACTTTTCGTCTAGATATGCCCTTATGGGCGTTAAATGCCAAATGAAATTGCCACGTCATTTTTGCATTACCATGTGACATTTATATTAAAGGAAAAAGGGTCAAATATACCCCTAAACTATTCGAAAAGGTCTAGATATACCCCCCTTTCAAATAAACTACCCGACCCATTTTCAACAAATTTTTTTATTTTTTTATTTTTTTGGGTAAATCCCGAAAATGAGTAATTGACTAATAAAAAATAGGACAAATATGAAAAAAATAATATAAAATTAACGCCAAAAATTCGCAAATAAATATAGTAACCTTAAATTCAACAATTTCAACAATTTTTTTAATTTTTTTTTTTTCCGATAAATCACGAAAATGGGTAATAAATTAAAAAATATGAAAAATATGAAAATGACTTTATGCTGAATTTTTAGGTTATATTTTTCATATTTTTTTATTAATCAATTACTCATTTTCAAAATTTATCCAAAAAAAATAAAAAATTTAAAAGATTGTTGAAATTGTTGAATTTAAGGTTACTATATTTATTTGTGAATTTTTGACGTTAATTTTATTTTTTTCATATTTTTCCTATTTTTTATTAGTCAATTACTCATTTTCGAGATTTACCGAAAAAAAATTGTTGAAAACGGGTCGGGTAGTTTATTTAAAAGGGGGTATATCTAGACCTTTTCGAATAATTTAGGGGTATTTTTGACCCTTTTCCCTTTAATATAAATGTCACATGGTAATGTAAAAATGACGTGGCAATTCCATTTGGCATTTAATGCCCATAAGGGCATATCTAGACGAAAAGCAGGCACGAGTGAGCCAAACTTTAAACGGGGGGGGGGGGGGGTAGGGGTATATCTAGTCCTTTTTTTTATATAGTTTAGAGGCATATTTGACCCTTTTCCCTTTTAAAAAATACTAATGGACAGATAAATTCTAAAAAATAAAAAATAGATAGTAATACATACCTTCAATATATATATGAACATACATTACATCACTGCAAATAAAGAGTCTTAAAACGAGTTAAAATTGAAGATTAAATTGAGCTCAGTTGAAGATTCTTTTAAAATGAGTAAAGGCTTTAGGTTGAGATCGAACTCAACCCATAATTAAAATTTTGAACGGATTATCTATATTTGGACTCATTTTGACAACCCTAATTATCAGCTATATACACTAATAAAATGATTATATTATTCCTGAATAAATGTTCACAAGCTTCTATATTTTAAATATGTTTTATCTCTTATGTCATCTTCCTATAAATGTCTGAATTAATTAAAAACTTACCAAGATCCATTACCACAAATATATTTAGATAATATTTGTCTAGGTCATCTTCACTCTTAGAGGTCGGATTGCAGTGACGAAGTTAAATTTTTTACTAAAGAGTTCAAAATATAAAAAATAGATATACAAAGAAAGTAAAAAGTGTTCAACATCTATATATACATAACAAAATAATTTTAATTATACGTAAATAATATAATTTTTTGCTAAACAAATTAAAGTTTGAATGAACTCCATCAGCCCTTCCTAGCTCAACCCCTGTCGGGTTGTGGTCCAAGTTTGGGGTGAAAATGACACACAATCCCCTAAAAGTTATGAAGTTTGATTGAAAAAATCAAAATACTTCGTGAATTATTGTTACAATCGACGATAACTAAACTTTGCTATGACTTTTTTAATGTACTCTAGCTAAAACGAATCTTATTTTAATTATTATCTATTTTATTACTATGTTCTCATACGCAAAAATATACGGTTATTTAGCACTATTCAAATTATTAAAGTTTAGACAAGGTTGGTAGCTAAGTCATTTATTGTCCAACTAACTATATGGATTATCCATTCCCTTAATTATTATCATAATCCCAGTGGTATAATCTTTTGCTAATTATAGTGGTTAAGACGGCTAGCTCTAGCTGAATACATATCATAGGATAAGTTTAATTAATTATCCATTAATGTTAGTGTAACCTCCACTTAATATAATGGATTAAGTTATATAAAAAAATATTTTTACCTTATCAATGACTTTTAATCCATGAAAACAAATTACTATTACATTTTTTTAACCTTATTACTTGTTATAACAGATCGATAACCTGTCTTACTCTCAAAATTCAAATTTATATTTCAAGAAGTGCTATTTATATATGATATCCACTTTTAAGGATGGCTAATAATGTTTACATTATTTACACTAAACTTAAATTATATTATAATTATAGTCAAAGGGCCACCATCCACCAAAACAAAATAAAAAATAGTAATTGCTTGCTAAGGCAAGGAATTTCCTCTATAAATTCCCTCTTTCGTTTATAGTTTTCTCAAAACATCAAGAAATTAAGCAAACAGACATTTCAAATACTTAGCAATATTTCAAATTATGGCATCCATGGGAGTAAATTATGCTCATCTTCACGTACAACAAAAACGTCATAAAGAGAAGTCAAAGAGAAGGGAGGAAGAAAATGGTCGAAGTAGTAAAAATGAAGATGACGTGGTGAAAAAATTAACCGCGGATGGTAAAAATAGTAAGGATAAGAAAATTTACCCCGGTAATTTAGGTGAAAAATAAAGAGTAGTAATTTGGACTCGTGGCATGTAAAAATATATATAT